GTATGAAGACAACAGGAATGAATTACTGATGAGCATACTTCAGGAAAACTAAATGCACATCAGTAAAAACCTCTCGATAACTGGATAGAATAAAAGGCAGTCTGGTAGATAATTTGTTCCGTATTGGAGGGATTAATGAATGATAACTTAGCTTGATAATTGAAATGCGGTAATTTATTTGGATAGCTCCCCTTAAAAATCTAGTTGGCTTTAGTCTGCCTGACCTAGCCAGTAATGCTAACCCAATTTCCTAAGAATATTTTAAAGAAATTAAGGGTTTTATTTTAAAATCCGAGACCTAATTGGTAACGTGGTAAAAATCGCCTTAGGGTATTATGAATTTGATACCGGCCACTTTTGATAGGAAAACTGATAGCAATAACCGGGTGTTTTCACAAGAATAGAGTCCCAATGAATCTTCTGATAAAGTTTTTTCTGGACAGTTAAAATATAGAGGAATTAGCGTGTGATGTTAAAGGTAATTTTGTCAGAATCTTGATTTTCCACGTTTCATGTAATTAGATCTGTGTTAGTATTTGAATTAAAGACCCACTCGGCTCCCGGATGTAGCTTCGTATGAATTTTACGAGTGGTGGGCATGTGGTCTCCATTAAAACACTCGTGTCTTGATAATAAAAATTAGCATTACACAGTGGAGCGGAAATATGAATTTTATTTTCGAGGGATAAAAGCAATACCTCACGGATGAATGCAGCGAGTGAGTAAAATCTTGATTAAAAGTGTAATACAAACAACGGTGATAAACATTTAAAAAACATGCATTTAATGAACTTGACGTTTCGTATGCTAGGCAACATACATTTTCAAAAGTATAGCCGTTAAATTTTTTGGAAAGTTATTTATATGTATCAATGGGGGTCTGGTACCTAGACAGAAAACATCTGCAGTATAAATTTAAGACGTTTCAGACGGAAACTGTCTGTTAAGTGACACAATGGAAAAGCTTTCCTAATAAAGTAAATGCTTATCACTGCTGACATTGGCCTTCAATGCTGGCTACAACTCGTGAATAAACAAGGTCTCTTTAACCTTACAATGGTAGTCAGTCTTTCCGCACGCCAAAATGTCAAAATATTTTTTGACATTTTGTGACCAGTTTTTGAGTAAAATCATGTTTTTAAGACAACAAAGTAATATTCGTGTCTTGAAGTCACCCGGTAACAACCCTAAAAAGCGGGAAATGACGTCATCAAAATTCTCACTAGTGGCAGATATGGGGTGCTTATCATTTAGCAGAAAAATCCCGAAACTTCGGTTGAAAGTCAAATGGAACTGTAATTTTCTGGAAGATCCGTTCGGAAATTGTAGACTAACTTCAGAGGTAGTCCTCTTTTTCCGTTCGGAACGGAACGCTGGAAAGTTCTTTACCATTTGCTAAATGTGCCAGTCTCCAGTCTTTCATCAGCCGAAAGCAATTACGAGAAATCGAATTGCAAATGGTAAGCGCCATCTCGTTCGGTTGGTTTGCTGATTTTGGAAAAACCCTTACCATTATTCAACGGTCATCCCAACCGGTTTATTCTGACAAAGCACCCATGGACAATAACAACAGGGTAGTGATAAGAGAATGACACGATATTACTCCGCGATGAACACGCGAGGACTGCTTTCGTGTAGTCACCATCTTCAGCTTTCCTTTAATTAAAATATATTACTTTGCGAAACCAAGAAAAGATCATACCTGCGGTAGGCAATGTGAGAAATAACTGTTTTCTCACTGTTTACAACGCCAAGCAAGATTAGATACGACTTTTTATTATCTAGACACGTACGAAAAAGTGGCTTCTTTTTAAAAACATACCCATATCAAGGATAGAGTGCAAAAACATACCCTATTTATGACCAAAATGGCGAAACTCATCTAAAAATTGATACCCTATTTATGACCAAAACGGCTGAAAAACCATACCCTTTGGTGCCGCACATACCTGTATAGCCCATATAAGGGAGTACCCCCCCCCCGGGGGGGATTTCACAGGAAATATTAATTATCCGGTCTTTCAGAGTGATGTTTAATAAACTTTTTTCACGCTTCTTTGTAATCCTGCCCAGAGTGTCAAATTGACCTTTTCGGCGATACCGTGGCCATTTTGAATTCCATTGTTTGCCCCCTGAGCATCCCAAAATAGCTATTTGAAACAACAAAATTCAAAATGGCCGCTGTATCGCCGAAAAGGTCCTTTCTTAACACAGTCGTCTTAACTCACTCAATTTGTCGATCTGGAAATGAAAATAGCCAAACTGCAGTTGTAAAAAAGTCGATTACACGCACTAACTACTCGTGTGAGCGCAAGTAGTAGGCTTTATTACCGGCTGTTGTTTCAGAATGGAGCCACGCCCTTCCTCCAAAGTGAGCGGCGGAAATCGAGCCGAGAAGACGCTTGCGTGAAAACTAGCGTCAAAACCAGTGTACGACTCTTCCATCCCATGCTCATATATCGAAAAAAAGAAGAGAAGCTAAATGAGTCTACTTGTCTAAGGAGACCTTGGTTACTTTAATGAAGATAAATATATAGATTTAGCCAGGCCTAAAAGCGGAGCTCCTGGGTCGGGTTGTTCAAAGCCTGATTAAGCTAACCCAGGATATGTGAGAATTTTGATTTGATTTTTTTTAACTTGGCGGTGAGTTTTTCTGCTTACATTGTTTGCCTTCTGAGTTTAAATAATCTCAAACCACACAAGACATAAGGAGTGAAAGACATTTTTATACAAGAAAAATTAATATTTCGGTTAACTTTTAAGCCTGGGTTAGCGTTAACCGTGGAGGCGCGGTGGCCTCATGGTTAGTGCGCTTGTCCCCGATTCGAGTGGTCCGGGTTCGAGCCCTGGCCGGGGACACTCTGTTGTGTTCTTGGGCGAGACACTTAACTCTGACAGTGCCTCTCGCCACGCAGGAGTATACATTAAATGGGTACCGGCGAAATGTTTGGGAAACCTAACAAATTGCGGGGGAGTGACCTGCGATGGACTAGCATCCCGTCCAGGGGAAGTAGAAATACTCCTAGCTGCTTCATGCTACAGCAACCAGGATAAGCTCCGGCAGCTATGAGAGAGTCGGCTACAAGGCGTCACTTTAGCGTTAACGGGCCTCAGTTCCGAACAATCCGGCCCTGACTAAGATAAATTAACCTGGTTTGAGGTCGCGATCCAAAGTTCAAACTTTCTTATACTTCTGAAATTGTGTATAAAAACCTACCTCAAATCGACTCGTTTTGCTTTCAAGATGCGTCAGAAATTTGAAGCTGTTCCTCGTGAATAGAAATCGTTCCCGAACCCGTCAGGCACTCAGTAGAGAAAATATATCTCACTAACCTCGTTTTCTCGGTCAGTACTGTAGGTTACGAATCCTCGTTTTCACGACTTATGGCCGGCTTGGGCCATAAATCGATGGGGAAAAGTCTCGCTCCGTAAGTCGCAGTACGGCTCTCGAACTCGGTTAGTAAGAGGCATTTATCGAACTCCAGCATTTTTATCCTCAGGGAGTAAAGAAAAATTATACCTTAAAAAAAGCGTGATTTCTTTTCACATCAGCACTGGTGGTTCAGTGGTAGAATTCTCGCCTGCCACGCGGGAGGTCCAGGTTCGATTCCCGGCCAGTGCAGTAATATGACCTTTTTTTATACAAGTCTATACATGATATATCTTTCTTTCCCTAAACATGACTTGGAAGGGCGATATTCAGTTTTTGTTGTTGTGATAAGTAATGGTAATAGGACTGAGTGGAGTCCAATTCGCTCTGTAATCATACGAGTGATAACAAAATCGGACGACCGCGCAGCGGGAGTCCGATTTGTTTATCACGAGTACCTTTACAGATCGAATTGGACGACACGAAGTCTTATTACCAATTAATCATAAAATATGCAATTTCCAAGAAAAGAAGAATAGCCAATTATGGATGAAAGGGAAAATTTGCATTAAAAGACTGACATCATCATCATCATCATCATCACCATCAGTCCTTATTGTCTCCAGTGAGGCATGGGGCCGCAACAATGTCTCTTTTCCACCGAGTCTTGTCTTTCGCAATTGCCTGTGCCTCTCCTCATGAAACACCCATCTCACTTGGTTCAGTTTCAACTGTCTTTCTCCAGGTGGTTTTGAGTCTTCCCCTTTTTCTTTTGCCTGCAGGTGTCCACCTAAGGGCAACCTTGGGTATTCTCTCTGGCGACATTCGTAAGACATGTCCCAGCCATCTAAGCCGGCGTTTCTTGATTTCAAGATCGATGCTTGTGCACCCAGTCTTCTGGTACAGGTCGTTGTTGGAAATTTTGTTGGGCCAGAAGATGTTGTAGATCCTTCGCAGACAGCCATTGTGAAAAGCATTGACTTTGTTTGTGTCCCTTTTGACAATTCTCCAGCATTTATAGCCGTACAGTAGCACAGATTTAACGTTACTGTTGTAGATGCGCACTTTAGTCTTAAGGCTTTGCTTTTAGACTTCCAGATTTTTTTGAGTTTAGTAAATGCACACCTGGCTTTGTTAAGCCTATAGGCCTTGATGTCCTTCTGAGCACTGTTATCTGTATTGATCACACTCCCGAGATAAGTGAACTCTTGAATATGTTCCAGCGGTTCTCCATCGATGTTGATTGGCCTTGATCACGATGTACCAGAGTTGACACACATAATTTTGGATGTCTTTTTGCTGATTATCAGTCCCGTTTTCTTGGCATTTGTATTGAGATCGTCTGACTTCTTCTGAAGATGAGTAGGTGTTGAAGAAAGGATGGCAATATCATCAGCAAACTCAAGGTCTTGAAGGTGAGAGAAGATAGTCCACTGTATTCCACGAAAGCGCAGGGAAGTTGCCTGACGCATCACCCAGTCGGTTGTAACAAGGAAGAGAATAGGCGAGAGTATGCAGCCCTGGCACACTCCCAATTTTACTGGAAATGTTTCTGTAATGGTGTTTCCAAGGATGATACTACATTCGAAGTTGTCGTAGAACATCTTAATAAGGTTGATAATCTTGGGTGGTAATCCATATGCTTGGAGGATCTTCCATAGACTTTCTCGGTGTACTCTATCGAATGCCTTTTGGAAATCGATAAAGTTGATGCAAAGAGACGTATTCCATTCGAGAGACTGTTCCAGGATGTTTCGTAAAGCAAATATCTGATCCATACAACCTCTTTCTCTTCTAAACACGGTCTGTTCTTCTCCGAGTGTCGAATCGATAGCCTTGTCAATGCGCTTAAGCAGTATCCTGCAAAATATCTTGCTTGGTACAGAAAGTAGGGTAATTC